GACTGCCCGAGCCCCACTGTCCCTTCGGAGGCTTGCCACCACTGGCGCCACCAGCGACCACGTGCTCATGGGCGGCCTTCGCACTCTTCTGCACAGCGGGCGGCGCAGGCGAGCCGCATGCACACTTGATGCGAGATGCCCAGTTGCCTGAGCGGTGGCATTTGGTGCAAGCCCACATCGGCTTCCTCGGCCCCAAGAGCACATCCCTAGAGCCCATGGACACAGCAAGCCGACTGCGGTGCGGGAGCCCCCCCCCGCCCTTCCCCCCCGGAACTCCCTCCGCGCTCGTCGTCGTCGTCGTCGTCGTCGTCGTCGTCGCCGTCGCCGTCGTCGTCGTCGGCGGCGTCGTCGGCGTCGTCGTCGTCGTCGGCGTCGTCGTCGTCGTCGTCGGCGTCGTCGTCGTCGTCGAGTCGTCGCCGCCGTCGTCGTCGGCGTTGTCGTCGTCGTCGTCGTCGTCGTCGTCGTCGTCGTCGTCGTCGTCGTCGTCGTCGTCTGCCTGCTTCTCCCCTGCCTCGGGAGCGGCCGAGAGGGGGGATCCAAGAGGGGTGAGGGGGGGCAAATCATGACCGGCGGCGCGTACGCGGCCCAGCGGGGGGAGGGCCAGGGACGTGATGAAGCGAGGAGAGGCGCCATGAAATCTGGGGAGAGATCGTGGCACCCGCCATGGTACCCACCCACCCCCTGGTCATCACCCCCCTCTTTTAAGGAGGGGAAAAAACACACAGACACAATGAATCGTCGACTCCCAGAAAATATGGGAAAATATGGGCAGTGGAAACCCAGAAAATATGGGAAAATAGGGGGAATCTGCTTCTTTGTGTGTACTTATTTGTGTGTCCTGGGGCCCCCTCATCCTTGCCGCCCACGAGCTGTTCCGCCGGACGGCACGGCCTGCCCCGGGGCCAGCGCGGCGGCGCGCGGGGCTCTGCCGGCGCACCGCGCCGATCTGTGCAGCGGGCCCCGGGCCGCGCGCGTGCCTCGGGAGCCCCCGTGGTGAGGGGGCCCCGGGGCACAAAGCAAGCAGACACAGAGGACGACAGGATCCTTCTCCTCCTCCTCCTCCCTCCTCCTCCTCCCTCCTCCTCCCTCCTCCTCCTCCTCCTCCCTCCTCCTCCTCCCTCCTCCTCCCCCTCCCCCTCCTCCTCGCCTCCTCCTCCTCCTCCTCCTGCTCATCTTCCACGGCCTCCGTCTTCGCCCACTTCGTCGCCGAGGTCGTGGTCCTCTTCAGGGTCGGCGGCACTGGCCGTCAGGCCTTCGCAATAGGCACAGATGACAGGATTCTCGATACTTTTCCATATTTTCTGGGTCTTTGTCTTCCCCCCAGCTTCCCACATGTTCCCATATTTTCTGGGGCATAAGCGATGAGTTGTGTGTCTGTGTGTTTGTTGTTCCCCTCCTGACTTGGTGTCTCCCAAGACATGCTGGTTGGCTCCTTCAGCCCCGCTCCGCGGTCCCTCCCACCCGAACCCGAGCGGCAGCGGGTGGTGTGGTTGTGGCCAGCCGGGGCAACCACGCACGAAACCTTCACCTGCAGGTCGGATTCCTGGGGTCGGAATTTGAAAGACGCCTGCAGACAGGTGGGCCCCAGCAGGGTGCCCGATACCTCAGCCTCGATTGGACCCGCCAGGATCGGGTTCCCGAGAGGTCGTAGACAATCCGCCAACAGAAAAATTTGGAGGAGAAGACAGCGGGGACCATGACAGAGACTGAACGTGGAGACGTCGTGCCGATCTTGGTCGCCGTCTGTCTTGGTCAGCACCAACTCGTGGATCATCATCCCTAATCGGCGACGGCCGGCATGTACCATGACCAAGATCGGCGTCGACAAGATCCAGCGACATCTTGGCCACGGTCACAGTGCTTCCTCCCTCGAACAGTGAGACACAGCAGGGGGCCTAGATGATCCTAGATGTTCGTGCTGGTGGTATGTAATCTCTCGGCCGCCTATAACCCCGAATCGTACCACCATCACCGAGGTCGGAACCATCTTCCCTCGGTGGAGGCAACCGCCGATCTTGGTGTTGGTGCCAACCTCTGGGTCTCCGAAAGGAGAAAGCGGAAAAAGGCAGAGGGCCGACCCCTGCGACTCGTCCGCCAGCTGGGCATTTTGAACTGGCCGTGTCCAGGGAAACGAAAAATGACATAAACAGAAAAACTCGGAGTTCCGCGCGGATGTCTCGGATCGGCGCTGGGGCGCCCTGGCGGCACTTCTGGCGCCGCCCCTGGCGCGCTCCGCGCGCAAGGGAGAGGGGTCTAGCGCCGATCCGAGACATCCGCGCGGACCTCCGAGTTGTCAGGTTTATGTCAGTTCTCGTTCCCCTAACGTCCTCTTTCGGACCGCCCGCTCTTCGGTCTGCGCGGCGCAGCCCCAGGGTCGCGGCGGTGCGGGCGGGTGCGTCAGGGCACTTCAAAACAGACGACATACAGGCCCAGATGGCAGGAGGCCGGGCGGCGCGCGCGAGCGCGGCAGGGAGCGAGGCCGAGGCAGGATGAGGATGAGTTCGGATGAGGAGAAAACAGGGGCCCAGGGACACACAAAGAAAGACACGCAGTTCCCAGGAGTCCCTGCATTCTCGTATATCTATGCTTTGTTTTGCGTTTCCCCCCTCACTTCACATAGTTTCCCCTGGGAGTCGGCGATTACTTGCGTCTGCGTTTTACCCTCCAGAAAAAACTCGGAGGGCCCCCGCGAACTGGTCTGGAGGACGCAGCGGGCGCCGCGGCCGCCTCAGAGCGCCTTTGGGCGCCCTGACAGCGGCCCGGGACGCTCCAGAGCGATGTCTCTTCCTGCTGGGCCTTCCTGGCGAAGGCACCGCGGCGGCTGCGGGGGGGGAAACGGAAAGGGGGGGGCAACAAAATTCGCTGGCGCTCTGCATGGACGCGGGCACCCGCCGTGATCCTCGGCGGCCCCCGCAGAAGGCGCCGATGACGGGCAGTGGTTTCGGACAGCAGCTGGCTCGTTCGACCCTGAACGATCGCGGCGAATCGACAACGCGGATCACTCGATAGCGGCTGGCTACGGGCCACTGCGGGCGTTCACTGCCGGCGTTCAACTCTGAACGCTCGCCTTGGGGCCTCTGCCGCATCGACACGACGGGAAACTACCGTAAAGAAGCTTCCGCGCCGACAATCTCTGAGGCCCCGATGCCCCACCGGGCGACGCGGGGCGCCCGCGACACGGCGGGCGCGGCCAAGAGGAGAGGCGGGCTTGAAGGACCTGGCGGACGCCCTGGCGAAGTCCGAGGCGCTTCTGCGCCGCAATGTGAGCGGCGAGGCGCCAAGGCAGGGTCAGTCGGGGAGACGTAAGACTCGGGCTCGGCCCGACGAGGATATGATATGATGGAAACGACGAAACCCAATCCGAAAATTGGCCCGAGCTCCTGCTGCAAACATGCCACGAAAACTGGGCCGTCAAAATCCAAGACGCGCCTTGTCCAAAAGCGCCGGCACACCCGAATTCCGGCCCACTCGAGTCTTACGCTTCCCCGACCCCGTCGGCATCGAATCGGGAAGTCTGATCGAAAATAAATGTGGGTCGTGCCCAGACCCCCGACGTCATAATTTCTTCACGAAGTCGACCCCCAGGGGTCTCGACCCGTTCCCTGGGACCGGCTTCTCATCCTGAGTCGTGTTTTCACGGCCCCGAGGAGCGGCAAGGGCCTCCCGAGGCCAAGAATAGCGAAAAGCCTCGCGCCGTGATGTTTTCATGATTCGAAGGGGTCTAGGTATTGGGCCCAGGAACCGGATCGAAGCGGCAGGCGGGTTGGACCGGGTCGCGCCGGCACGCTTCGCCGCAAGCATCGGCGCGGGGCGGGCGCGGCACGAGCGCGCTCGGAGCGGAGGCCGCCGCCCGCGGCCCGAGGCGGGCCGCCCGACGCCGCGCGAGGCCTGGGGCGAGCGCGAGCGCGCGGATCGGGCAGTCTCGTGCTCAGCCTCCAACTGCAGCGACAGGTGGCCGTGGAGAGAGCCGCGGCTTCTCGGCGGAGAGCGGGGCCCACGGGGCCCACGAGGCCCTCGAGGCCCTGCCGGGCGGAGAGGCGGCCGCCGTGGGCGAGGCGGGGGGTCCGCGTGCCGAGGCCCCTCGCGGAGGCGGGCGCGCCTGCCCGCGCCTCCGCGCCCTGGCAGGGAGGCGCGGGCGGGAGGGCCGGCGGGCTGGCGAGGAGGAGGAGGAGGAGGAGAAAGAGGAGGAGGAGGAGGAGGAGGAGGAGGAGGAGGAGGGGGAGGAGGAGGAGGAGGAGGAGGAGGAGGAGGAGGAGGAGAAGGAGAAGTAGGAGGAGGAGGAGCGAGCGAGCGAGCAGAACTCGAGAGGCAGTTGGACAGCGGGCCGAAGGCCAACAAAGACCAGCCCCGAGGCCTCAGCCTGCTGCAAGGACGGAGCCCAAAGGGCCAGGAACCGCCTTGCAGCCGCCGAGGACGCGGGGCCAGCCCTTGCGGGCCCAGAGGGAAGCGGGCCGCGCACCAGCCAGGACGCACGGAGCCTGCGCCAGGCCCGCGCTCGCCTGCTCGAGGTAGCAGCCCTCGAGGCCCAGCGGGCGCACAAAGTGCCCGCGGTTCAGCACGGTGCCGAACTCCCGAAGGAACAGCATCCGCTGCAGGATGCCGCTCCGCCCGTCGTTGACAACGTCGACGGGGAAAACAAGACTGTAAAAGTGCAGGCAGTCCAGGATCAAACACCACAGAGGACAGCCATCAGCACTATGAAAAGAAAAGAAAAGAAAAGAAAAGAAAAGAAAAGAAAAGAAAAGAAAAGAAAAGAAAAGAAAAGAAAAGAAAAGAAAAGAAAAGAAAAGAAAAGAAAAAAAAGAAAAGAACAGAAAAGAAAAGAAAAGAAAGCAGTCAGACCGACCCAATTTCCACCGAAGGTGCAAGCCCCGAGGGCCAGAACATTCAGGGCTGGCCGCCGAAGGTGGGAGCAGAATGTCTCTGCCAAGGGTGCATGGCTCATAGGCCAAGAACATTGAGGCCTGGCCGCCGATGGCAGAGAAGCGTCGGCCCGACCACTAAACCATGTCAGTGTCCACGTCGTCATCGCTGTCCGACTCGCGCGGAGCACCCAACTCCAAAGCTTCAGGGTAGAATAGACCATAGTCCTTCAGAATCAAACTTGTGCCCAAATAGCGTTGGGGTTCAGCACGTACTCGGCCTTTTGGTCTGAAGACGACCTCAGGCGCATCCATGAGCGGGTCCCTCCAACCTTTGGACTTGCACACCAGGGTTCGGACTCTGGCCGTGGGCCGCCGAGCATCCAACAGAGCAATATCTTTGTGCAGCGACTGAGGATGTCGAAGCTTGCTGAAGTGCCGGGTGTTCTCAGCAATCCTGCCGCTGCCTCCTTCTCTGCCGCAGCACACTTTGTCCAGCCCGCGATGGTTGAGACTACCAGTGTCTGAATACTTGCAACAACTGGTACAGAAAATCAGCGAGCGATCATGACCGACCACAGGGTACTCCAGCAGGGCATGTTTCTGGACCAACCAAGGCCAGGGCAAGAGGGGCTCCATCGCCGCCGCCTGCTGCTGCGGTGTGGCCAAGCCGTCCTCCTCGGGGTCAGGGAAGAGGCAATCCTTGAACTCGTCGCCCTGCTGGTGGAACCAAACCTCAAACTGGGCGATGTACAACAGCAGCATATTGTGAAGGCGCGTCGCGCCGCGAACAAGCTTCTCCTGAGCCTCCGATGCAGCATGGAAAGATGCACCAGCCTTGGCCAACTCGCCGACCTCGGCATTCCCAGCACGGTCGAAAAGACTGATAGCACCGTCCCTGACATCCTCCATGCTGGTGTGTGCCTTTACATGAGACACAGGTGCCCTAAAGAAATCATCATGCATCGTCGTCCTCCTCCACATAATTATGCGCTCTTAAATTGCCTGGTCCACACGCTGCCGCCAATCTGTGACAACAACCGACCGAGCCCTTGCAACAGCACCATAGTACCGAGCTACTCGGCGCTTGCCTGCATCGTAGACCGTGACAGCCCAACCAGCGGACCGCAGCTCAGGCACACGAACTGACAGCGCACTTCCGTCAACGTAAACATAGCCGCCGTTCACAGACGTCACACCTCGGCAGTCCACATCCATCATATCATGAGGGCTGGATCGACCTGCACCGTGAAAGGCCTGCCCTGGGTGTGGAAGAAGACCTCGGGCAAATCGCTCCTGCCTGTCCTCAGCCTCACACCTCATTCTCTGCGCCGACCTCTGGACTTCTGGCGGTAGGAGCAGCTGCCGTTGGGCAGAAAAAGCGTCACACTCAAAAAACGATGAAACAGGGTGCCAGGCGCTGCCTGGCATCTGGTGCAGAGCGAAGAGTGGCCTGCCAAGGCTCGAGCAATCCGAACCTGTAGCCAATGACATCCAGTGATCACACCCCGAAGCGTGCGCCGCTGGTGGGGCGTGAGGCGCTTGCCGTGCAGCGCCTCCGAGATCGGCTGCCAGGCGATGGGTCCTGTCCTGGTGGTGCCTGCTCCTTGCAACGTGGCAAGCGCATCACGGTCGATCTGACGTCTAACACCCAGCTTGACTATATGCGCGATCCAACTGGCAGAATAGAACTTGACGTCCCATGAGCGACCTTCGTCGTCGAGAAGCTTCAACGGGTCCAGCAGCCTCCAACAGATCCTGTGCAGGCTGATCATGAGCGCCGCAATGGGGTTCGTGCACTTCAGCAGGAAGAGGAGGAGGAGGAGGAGGAGGAGGAGGAGGAGGAGGAGGAGGAGGAGGAGGAGGAGGAGAGGGGGGCAGCGACCGCGAGGGGCCCGGGTCGCAGCCGGGCGGCCCCGCGCCGCGCCCCCGCGAGCGGCCTGGGCCGGCAGCGGGGGGGGGGGGGCGGGGGCCCTCGGCGGCGGCGTGGCGGCGCTCACGCCGCGTGCAGGCGGAGGCGGGGGCGAGCGCGTGGCCCGGCGAGCGGCCCCCCGGGGGTGGAAGCCGAGGGGCGGGCCCGACGGGAGCTCCGACAGCCTGCTGCTGCGCACGGAAGTCACGGGAGGGCCAGCGCCGGACACGCACACACGCACACACGCACGCACGCACGCACGCACGCACGCACGCACGCACGTGCACACGCACACACACGCGCACACATTCACACATTCACACATCCACACATTCACACATTCACACATTCACACATTCGCATATTCACACATTCACGCATTCACACATACACACACACACAAACACACACACACACACACACACAAACACACCAACTAGAATCGCCCGAGGAGGGGGGAGGGATGCGGAAGGTAAAGCAGGAGGGAGAGGGAGAGGGGAGGAGGGAAGGCGTGGGGCGGGGCACTGGCGAGAGGATCGCCCTCGGCGGCGAGGGCGTGCTGACAGAACGTTAAAAAACAAATAAACTCGTGCGCCTGCGGGGAGACGCCTGTCCCGGGGCGGCTGGAGAACTCATACTCCAATGTGCCACCTTGCAGGCTCACACGTCCCCCCGACGGCTGAAAAGTACATCCTACACCTCCTTGGTCAACCAAGACTCGGCGGTCCGCAGTTGGGGCCCGGAGGGACGGGGCCCTGAGGATCGGATCAGGTCGGGCGTGTCCTCCTACATGTGGGTTTTGGGCGAAAAACAAAACATAGTCCAAACATGCGCAAACATCGTCAAAGATAGTCGAAAAAAAAACCCTGCCTTTTTTCACTAGTTTGAGTAGTCCTCCTGCAGGGGGACGTGCCCGACTTGAGGATACGAGGGGACCACACATGTGATATAGAGTAGGGGCCCGACCACAAGAAACCTTCCATAAGAAACGCCACCCTGACACCCCAGGACGTCCATTGATTTTTGGCGTGGGAACGTTACGATTTCCACATCGAAACCCAAGACACCCACGGCACCCTGGAGGCAAGCAGTGTGTTTCTTGGCATGGGTCTCCACTGTGCCCTGTCTGAGGCTCCGTCCTCAGGAGCCCACTCCCCGGAAGCCGCCACAGGGGGGCAGGCCGGATGGGGTCGCAGGACCACGCCGCATCGCCGATGCATCGGCTGATGCATCGGCGATGCGTCGGCGATGCGTCGGCAACGCCGTCGCGTAGACGAATCGGGCTCCACATCGCGCCGCAGCGCCGACGCATCGGCGACGCGGCGCAATCAAGCGGCCCCATCCACGACGGCTTCGTGTCCCCAGAGATCCGATGCCATGATTCGCTCAATGTGGGGTCCCCGAAAGTCTCGACCCATTCCCCAGGACTGGTTTTTCATCCTGAGACGTTTTTTGACGGTCCTGGGGCCCGGGGAGGGCCCCTCGAGGCCGAGGAATACGAAAAACCTCCGTCTTGATTTTTCCAACACGTTGGATGTCTGGGTCGTCAAGACCCCGGCGCTGAGCTCTGGCACCGCGGAGGGACCGCTGGACCTCAAATGCTCGGCGGCTCTTCGACCACCAGATCTCTCCACCTCGGCCGACTCTGGGCCGCCGCTGGCGCTCGACCCGGGAACGCCCGCGGCGGGGCCCCGCCGCCGCGCGAGAAGGACGTGATCCTGCCGCACTCGGACCTCCTGCGACAGGCCTGGAAGAAGAAACGCTGGAAGTGAGCCCACGTATACCCCAAGCAGTTCGGGAGCGGCCAAGAGGGGGGTGTCCAAGAGGGGGGGGTGCAAATCATGACCGGCGGCATGTGCGCGGCCCAGCGGGGGGGCCAGGGACATAATGAAATAAGAAGAGGCGCCATGAAATCTGGGGAGATATCATGGCCCGCGCCATGATATCCACCCCCCCTAGTCATCACCCCCCTCTTTTCCGCCCCCGAGCAGTGATGTCTTGCAACCTGCGCGGCGCAGTCTCGGTGGCGCAGTCCAGGTGGCACAGTCTAGGGCGGGGACGGGCGGCAGCGAGCTGACCAGACTGGCACCGGGGCCTTAGCCGCGACGGCGGCGACGACCGGCGCTGGGCGACGACGAGCGGCATCGAGCTGGCCACCTGGGGTGCAAGGACTCCTCCTCCTCCTCCTCCGCCTCCTCCTCCTCCTCCTCCTCCTCCTCCTCCTCCTTCTCCCCCTTCTCCTCCTCCCCCTCCTCCTCATCCTCCTCCCCCTCCTCCTCCTCCTCCTCCTCCTCCTCCTCCTCCTTCCATGTTGTGTTCTCGGGGCGCACAGAAACGCTAGTACCAAACGTTCACCTCGGAGGCGCGCGTCCAACCCGAACATATCGTATACGCATCTTGTGGTATATCGTTTCCCGAGCGGTATGGCCAGAAAACGCCCGCCACGGCGCATATACTGCAAGATTTCTCAGTGCGCGCGTCGCCACTGGGGGGGGGGGAGAAGCGCACATAGTAGATTAATGCTTATGTTGGGGTGACGCCGATGTGTTTCTTCTCCGGGACGAGAGCAGTTTCATGACAGGATTGGCTCAGGATCAAGATGCGCTCTAGGATCTCCAGGGAGCATCCACCCACCAGCCCTCGTTCCCGCATCACGTGGGGAACGCTCGGAGATCCTGGGAACCCTGGAGATCTTAGGAGGCATTGTTATCATGGCCTCCTGCTCGCTCTCCGCGGCGAGCGAGGGGGGGGGGAAGCGCGAAGGAGAACGTCTTCTCAGGAGGCGCGGCGGGCCTTCTCAGAAGACCTCGC